AAAAAAAAAAAAAAAACCACCCAAAAAGTTGATAGGAGTGGTAGTTGTGATAAAGAATATGCACACTTGGTTACTTTTAGTGTGTTTATGAAGTTGAGAACAAGAAACAAAAAGAGGGAGATAAATCATTTCTAAGGAAGCATTGTGTGGTTGATCAGTTGGCACTTACATATGATACATTGTTGTTATTTGGACTCCTTGGTAATGTTTTGGAAAAAATGAAAATTTTCAACATACTTTAAATAAAATTAGCTCTTTCATGCTTTATAGTGAGGAAATCGTATTGGATTTCTGTCATACTCTGTTAACATTTTTGTGTGATAATTGAAGGGTTGGTCTTGTTGAAGTACTTCTTGGCCTTCTTGATTGGAGGGCAGGGGGAAGGAATGGACTTTGCTCGCAGATGAAATGGAATGAGTCTGAAGCATCTATAGGCAGGGTGCTTGCAATTGAGGTCAGTCTACTTAATTCAGCTAAGTTTGCTGTATACTTCCTGATCTAAACATCATATTTTAGAGCAATTACCCCTATTCATTCCTTTTGATAGTCTGGCCCAGGTTTTTAAGGTTCACCTGAGACTTTTGTTCATCATAAATTTCTTTTCTTCCTAAATTTTTTCGTTTATTTGAATTAGGGAGCAATTGTAATTAAAGAGCAAGGATTAGATAGACTGTTTTGACTTTTTTGTTGCATAATTCTTGTAGCTTAAAATTGCATGCTTCTTGCATTTTAATGCGAGTCATTAAAGCGGTTGTCTTCAAGTGCTTGGCTTTGTAACTTTACATGGTTTTATGTTGATCTAGGTTCTGCGTGCATTTGCAACAGAGGGGGCCCATTGTGCAAAAGTGTGTGAGATATTAGATGCTTCTAATGTAAGTCCTGACACACGATGCATACTTATCTTGTTCCAACTATTGTTGCTCTTTATTGGTGGTTACTGGTCTTTCAAATTTTGAGACCTCTAAGCTTGTATGTCCGTATTATATTTTTGAATCCTCCATGTATCATTCTTTCCGAAATTGGTCGGAAAGAAGGGAAAACAGAATAATTTCTACCAATGAAGCACGGATATTTCGTTGAGGATGACGTACCCGTATCCGATATCGTATCGGATACGATACTCGTCGGATACTCGAGGATACGTATCGGATACACCTTCTACGTATCCGATAATAATTAAATATTAGGATACTTCGTGGATACTTTTGTAGTCGAGCAACATATATAATTTTTTAGTCGAACTTTTTAACATCTCTTTTCAAATTCACATATCATACAATACATTAACAAAAAAATCATATTACTTCAAAGACACATGAGTGTTTTTTAAGTATTATCTATAGTTACATGTCAAAAGAGTATAAAATAAAGCTATTACATTATAATCTTAGCAAAAATTACTTCTAAATACTAGGTAAACATTAGCTTTGATTCCCTTAATTAGTTACTTCACTTTGTGAATATACCACAGCGACACGATATATATTTTCTTGAAACTAAAAAGAATTACTAATTTTCTTTATTATATGCTAAAGAATTACCAAAATATATACGTATTAAGTTGGTTGAAAATAATAAAAATATTAAATATATTTTATTATAACTGTATCTTAGCCGTACCNATATAAGTATTAAGTTGGTTGAAAATAATAAAAATATTAAATATATTTTATTATAGCTGTATCTTAGCCGTACTCGTATCCTACTTTTTTAGACTTTGTCGTATCGTCGTATCCGTATTGTATCATACCCGTATCCTGTATCCGTATCCGTGTTTCATAGATTTCTACTAATCCATAGATGGTCTGTAAATGGCAAGGGAGAGAAAAGGAGGAAAAAAGAGGTCTTACTGTGCACCATGAAACCGGAACCTAAAATGATGCCATAAAATTTTTTATCTGATCCAAAGTGGTATACAAAATTAAACTAGTAGAATAGGTATCACGGCCATAACAACAAACTGGGCAAGTTTGTACTTCAATGGAAGCATATATCACGTCCATACTTGAGAAAAGTTGTAATCAGCTTGACAATCCTTACAAGCATTATTCAAAATAGACTCCAAAAATAATGTTGATGGAGCTGAAGACTTGCTTATCTGACTAATGGTAAACAAGGTGACCTACACTTAACATTTAGGATTGGTGGCACCCTCGTTCAGAAAATATTACAGATAGCTGACACATACATTAGCATTTAAAATCCATTTACTCCTCTAGACTCTCTCCTTGAATTGCATTGGTTGTTCATGAAGATTGTGGCTTCTAAACTGCAACTTATGGGGTGAGAATATGTAAAGATTTTCTCTAGACTAGTTTAGATGGAAATACTAACCTGTGGCAATTAAAGTTGGTTACATTGAAATATTCACAAGTGAGTGGTGTCATAGCTGAAGACATGTGAATGGCTTGGGATGTGGTAGTCTTTTGTCCTTGCATTGTCTTATTACAATCATGCTGTTCTTGAAAACAAGAGCACCTCAGGTGGAGAGGAAAAAAAATGAAATGCTCGGACCTGCTTTCAGGACTTTGAGAGCTTTTCTTTTATCTCCTCATAGGTTTTGCTTGCACCTTTGTCGTTGCTGGATATTGAAGTAAATGAAGAATATACTATTAATTGTCTTGTGTAACGCTGAAAAAATTTGTGCTTCTGAAATGAAAACAAAGTAGTTTCAGTTACACTGGTGAGATATTTGATTATCTTTGTCAATTTTAGCACAGAGAATGAAAACAAGAGATTGACTAGAAAATCTCTATAATAAAATAAAAAAGATTGGGTAGAAATGGCTCATCCTATTCCGGGGATAATTTAGATGTTGGAAGAACAACTAAACACTGAACTGTTTAGAGTAAACTGTTTGGCCAGCAAAAGGATGAATGGCAGTATCGTTGTTTCTTTTTTGCGCTTTTGAACTTTGCTATGTAGGCCAAGTATTTTTAGCAAATTTTGTTTGCCAAGTGAAGTGGTATACTTACCACCATCAAATACGTGGGTCCCAAGAAAGTCTGATGGTTCTGAGTTTGCAAAACATTCGGAAAATAAAATTTGTTGAAGTATTTGGTCATTTAGGTGTGCTTTTTGGGGTGTAACAGCGAAAGTATATTTCTTTGTCCTTTTTCTGTGACAAAAAATCCTCTCAATGATACCATAAAGAGGTCAAAATGCTGTGACATTGTTTTCCAAGTTGGTGCCTGGTCATGGTCAAATTCTATTTCCAAGTTCTCTTCAACTGATTAATACATTGTGAATTCTGATTTTGCAGGTTTGGGGTGCTTATAAAGACCAGAAGCATGACCTTTTCCTTCCCTCAAATGCTCAATCTGCAGCTGCTGGAGTCGCTGGTTTGATTGAGCATTCCTCATCGAGGCTTACTCATGCCCTTACAGCTCCCCCACCGCAGTCTAGGACTCTAGTCTAATGAGTCACATCTGATTAACGTAAAGGCGGATCAACCTTCATAATAAGAATGGACGACTGAGAAATACAATTTCTAAGATGAAAGCTGCTGTCAGTCCTCATACCTTGGAGTAATCGATAAAAGCAGTTACCAATCCGCATGCTTTGGCATAATGGTGGAAAGCAGGATCAGCTTCCACAACAGAAGAAAAAATGAAAGAGTTTTATCACAAGGATCGGATCATGTGTGGAGCCCTATACTTCACTCATTTGTATAGCAACCTGTACAGTCTTATTTTTCCATCTCACCCTTTATCTCTTGTTCTCTCCATGCACACGGGAGGAGAGAATGCAGATCTTTTCAGAAGTCAGGCGCGAGAAAATTGTTTGTCTTTCATGTCAAGAGGAAATCTTATCTTTTGTAAATCATTTATCTAGTTGCTGAATTTTCCGTAATTAGTGAGGTAATTTTCCGTAATTACTGATTGTTAATTATATTTGTTTATATACCGAGTGAGGTTTTTCACACATCATGGTCTTTGTTCTATTTTTCTTTGGCCGAGTCTACAGCATCATTGTCATTTATTTTTTAGCCTGCATTTGCTTTTCTTCATATCTCAATCTGAGGGTGGAGGGCGGAGTTTGGTCTAATGATAAAGTTGCTCTACTGCGATTTGGACATCACAAGTTTGAATCATGTTAAGAGTTTCTTTGTATAGATAAGTCTGCATATATATGACTATCTCCAAGTCCCACAAAGATGGAGTGTATGTGCAATGCGCTGTAGATGTTGCAATCTTGCTTATACAGAAATGCATGCAAGTAGTTTCATTTTCATCTGCTGGTGGACGCATAGGGAGGAGGTTGGAGTTGGCCAAATATTCCCTTAAAGCGAAAGGCCAAAGAAAATTTTGAAGGCTCAGTTTAATGAGAAAATATTCTACATAATTGTGATATTATGTCAACATTGTTGACATTGTATCATCGATCAATAATAAAACCCTAAATAGGTAAAGTAAATTTTATTTGGATAGTTATTTGTTAATGTGGAAGAAAAGTGAATAGTTATTGACTTATACGGACGGTTAGTTATTGGTTTGTGTGGAGTCCGTTTCTTTATTTGTTTACATATTATTGGTTGGTGATATCATATGACAATGCTGACGTGGTATCATCGTTGTAATGAATATTATTTCCAATTTAAGGGATTGGTTAGTTTGGAGAGATTAAAAGAAAAAAAATGCACAATATACATGATTTATCGATGATTGTGCATTAGCGTTGATTCGATTGTAATTAAACGAGAACAAAGAAAAGAAATGAACATAGAGAAAGGAGATAAGTGGGGCTTGATGAATTGAGATGAAGATTGGTACATGAATTTTGGGATTCAGATCTCATCGAGTAATTTTGTCCTTCTTTATCTTTTTTTGCATATCATTCATCATTAATGAGGGATGGATCCCCTCATATGTAATAGGTTCCACTTGAATTTCACCAAGTGATATACCGAGAAAAAAAATGAGAAAAAATATATTATAACTGCAAATTTGGTACGAACTTGAATTATTGGGAAGAATAACATTACTCCTTGTCTTAAATTAGATAGAGCAATGTTATTATGACATAGTTTATTGATCTAATTCATTATAACAATTAGATTGACTGTGAATCCTATCAAATATTAGAATTTGGTACTAATTTAATGGTTGCAATAAAATAATATCATTATGTTAACAACTTAAATTGGATATTGTTTTAGCATTAAATAGTAAAAGCCAAACATTCACGCATAAAGAAAGGGCACCAAAAGATAGAAATTCAGCAAAAGTTTCATGCATGGGTTCCTGATCAGAAATAACTTTTTCTGGGGGATTTTATTGATGACACATTTGCAAGAGTAGCCTATATATATATATATATATATATATATATGAGAAATAATGCGTGTGTGTGTGTGTAAAGTGTTGTTGTTGTTGTGGGTTGTTTTGGGGGAGTAGAGCATCCTTGGGAACATAAATCTCAAATGTTGAATTTCATTCATCTTCCGTTGGGAAGATAGATTTCCATTTCTCAAAGCATACTATAAATGAAGTATGGTCCTTACCTGTTCCCCATTTTCTCTCATTTAATGTAGCCCTATGATACTTAAATACTTACTTAATTTACCTTTCAATATTCTTTTCACCGGCTACTACTATGGTGCATCCAAGGAAATACCAATTTTCTATTTTGCTCTAAATTCTAGTTTCTACCCTCTTTCCTTCCATTTTGATTATGGAAATTTTTACTTCCTTCTCTCAATGACAAAAAGTGTCACATCAACTAACATTTAATTTCTTAAAAATTTAACATGCTGCCATAACATGAATAATAAGATAAAATCTTACACATATAATATTACATGAAAAGTGAAGGCATAACCATAGTTTTTTTTTTTTTTTTGAACATAAAGGCATAATCATAGTTGAAACCATTAATATCTATATTTTTTTATTTTATGTCAACTATTTTTTCGAATTTTTAAATTGGTTATCTTAGTTCAAACTAGTTTTGTTTAATGATACAAGGGTGGTTGACCCTCGAGAGATATAAAAAATATCGAATTTGAGGCTTATTGTTTGTAAGAAGACAGACTTAACCATTAAATCAAGATGATACATAAAAAATTAATATAATCGACACAGCAAAAATGGTACGCACAAATCAAGAAATGAACCGGCCTACCTTTTCTTTTACCAAATAACTACCTTCCTCTCTCACTCTATATATATCCCCATACATGAACACGCCAAAAACAAAGGAGGCACACAAGCTTATTATACCTTCCAAAGAGGGTGGAGGTCAGGAGGTGGAACCATAAAAGTGTCTACAAAATATACATTTAATTTGCAAAACCGCAGGGAAGAGAGAGAAATGGAGAGGGGTCAGAAGCTGGTGGTGCTCTCCCTTGTAGGGGCATTGTTGGCGGTGACGGTGGTGGCGACCATGGAGGAGGACGAGAAGGACTGCGCGGACCAATTAACGAACCTCGCCTCCTGCATTCCCTTCGTGAGCGGCGACGCCAAGAAGCCGACGCCGGAGTGCTGTGAGGACACCAAGAAAGTGAGGGCTGCTAAGCCAAAGTGCCTGTGTGTTCTCATCAAGGAGAGCACTGACTCCTCCATGGGCCTCCCTGTGAACACCACTTTGGCTCTTCAAATGCCAGCAGCTTGCAATATTGATGCAAAAGTCTCTGATTGCCCCTGTAATTATTCTACCACTACCCTCTTCCAAGATAATGCAATTTAATTGATATTTACTTTGAGAAGTCTCTTTTTGGGAACGACTTGGGATAACTTCAAGCATCTTGTTCAAGCTTGCGCTAATGAATTTGTTGTCTTAGCTCAACTCGGCTGATAAAATGAAAAGCTCGAGCTCGTGTTTGATCTTAAACTCGAATTCAAGCTCACGTTGAAAATCAAGCTTAGCTAGTTTTATTCCATATCATATATCTATATGTTATATATATGTTGATCCATGAGCGAATAAGCCGAGCAAGTCCTTACTATGCAACAAACTTGTATTCTGACCGTATTTTGTCTTATTTTTTAGGGTTTTATCGTACCCGTATCTTATATACTAATTGCAAATCATTTAAATTAAAATCAACTGTTTCAATTAATTTTGGCACAGTACCCCTACGATATCGTAGTCTTATCCAGTGTTTGATATTGTTTACAGCTCTACTGAAGCTCCCGCCAAATTCACCAGACGCAAAGATCTTCAAAGAAGCAGACGCAGGTTCAAGCACAAGCTCAGCAACAGGTTCACCACCAGCTTCTGCTTCTACATCAACTTCGTCTCCTGGATCATCAAAATCTTCATCTTCTTCCCCAGAAACTGGTTCGAGCTCCAACTCGAAGGCAAGTACCAGCGGCAATGGTGGAGTGAAGTTGAGTGGAAGGTTGTTACTATTGATGAGTTTGGCTTCAACTGCATTGATGTTAATTTGATCTGTCAATCAATCTTCAATGGAGCTTTCGCACTGAGAGCTCTTTGTAGGGAACACTTAGGTAGTGATTAGTTTCGTTATTGCCTTGACTTTGTTCCCTCTTCGAATTTCATAAATAACAACAATAACGGTGATGACAGTTGAATTTAAGCTTTACCTTTTGCCAGATTGTCTTTCAATAAGGTTGTTCTCTTGTAACTAATACAGATATGATGATTCAAAAAAATTCATCTGATCTAATCTAAGTATATATACGATAAGATTCAAAAAAATTTATCGATATTAAATTATATGAATAAACATAGATATGTGTGTATTTATCTTTATCATATGTATCCTATCCGGATTGAGCCTTATGTAATCAATCGCCTTCAATAATATATCGAGGCCGTCCATACAGCGTTTAGGTCTGTAGATATATGCAATATGCCGAAACACTGTCTTTATTATCTCCAATCTTTCTCCTATTATGAATTTCTTCATGATATCAGCGGGTTGATCGCACTTCAATTTAATTTGCTTCCGCTGTTCCAATTTTAGGATTTACCAATCTGACCCATTCGTTCATTTTCATTGCTAATTCTTCTATCTTTGTTCCAACCTGTAGAGCACTTTCTTTACCCTCGTTGCCATAATCCTTCATCACCGATCACTGACGAGGAACATCACTATTCAAGCCAAAATCATTCAAGTGGGAAAGTGTTCAGATTGGAGGAACAGAGTGAATGAATAAAAAATCGAGATGAGAGTCTGAAATGGGAACACACACAAATAAAAATAAGTTTTTATTTTGTCCCACCTTGTTATTTAGGGGGAGTTTCATCCTATATATAGCAACATCATCGGTAATTTTATAAGCTACACTTTTATCGTCAACAAATAACTTTGGTCTCTACATTAGTCCGGGTAAGTCTTGCTCAAACCTGATAGAATTGCTTTCCACGGTATCAAAGAGTGGTGCACGCTACAATCCAAATAATCACACTCCATTTTCAGTTCAACTTGGACACTTTAACTCATCAATATACTAACTTAAGCGGGAGTATTAGGATATGATGATAGAATCTAAGAAATCTATTACTATTTATATATGATGATAGAATCCAAAAAAATTTATTACTATCTATAGAATAAGTGTAGATGATGATACTAATATCTTTATTATGTAATTTTCACCCTATAAATAAGGTTGAGTCTCATGCAATAAAGTATCTTCAATAATATCCATAGACGTAGGTATTTTGTGGAACCACGGAACTCNTTTTTTTATACATAAAGGCATAATCATAGTTGAAACCATTAATATCTATATTTTTTTATTTTATGTCAACTATTTTTTCGAATTTTTAAATTGGTTATCGTAGTTCAAACTAGTTTAATTTAATGATACAAGGGTGGTTGACCCTCGAGAGATATAAAAAATATCGAATTTGAGGCCTATTGTTTGTAAGAAGACAGACTTAACCATTAAATCAAGATGATACATAAAAAATTAATATAATCGACACAGCAAAAATGGTACGCACAAATCAAGAAATGAACCGGCCTACCTTTTCTTTTACCAAATAACTACCTTCCTCTCTCACTCTATATATATCCCCATACATGAACACGCCAAAAACAAAGGAGGCACACAAGCTTATTATACCTTCCAAAGAGGGTGGAGGTCAGGAGGTGGAACCATAAAAGTGTCTACAAAATATACATTTAATTTGCAAAACCGCAGGGAAGAGAGAGAAATGGAGAGGGGTCAGAAGCTGGTGGTGCTCTCCCTTGTAGGGGCATTGTTGGCGGTGACGGTGGTGGCGACCATGGAGGAGGACGAGAAGGACTGCGCGGACCAATTAACGAACCTCGCCTCCTGCATTCCCTTCGTGAGCGGCGACGCCAAGAAGCCGACGCCGGAGTGCTGTGAGGACACCAAGAAAGTGAGGGCTGCTAAGCCAAAGTGCCTGTGTGTTCTCATCAAGGAGAGCACTGACTCCTCCATGGGCCTCCCTGTGAACACCACTTTGGCTCTTCAAATGCCAGCAGCTTGCAATATTGATGCAAAAGTCTCTGATTGCCCCTGTAATTATTCTACCACTACCCTCTTCCAAGATAATGCAATTTAATTGATATTTACTTTGAGAAGTCTCTTTTTGGGAACGACTTGGGATAACTTCAAGCATCTTGTTCAAGCTTGCGCTAATGAATTTGTTGTCTTAGCTCAACTCGGCTGATAAAATGAAAAGCTCGAGCTCGTGTTTGATCTTAAACTCGAATTCAAGCTCACGTTGAAAATCAAGCTTAGCTAGTTTTATTCCATATCATATATCTATATGTTATATATATGTTGATCCATGAGCGAATAAGCCGAGCAAGCCATTACTATGCAACAAACTTGTATTCTGACCGTATCTTTGTCTTATTTTTTAGGGTTTTATTGTACCCGTATCTTATATCTATATCCTTATTTCCTAGGGCCTAATTATACTATCAAAAAGTAATTATTTTAGTACTATAATTTCACTTTTTAATCTAATAAAACATGACACGTGTAACATTTTCTTATTTAATTATTTTTTATTACTTATAATATTTCCAATNTATCATATATCTATATGTTATATATATGTTGATCCATGAGCGAATAAGCCGAGCAAGTCCTTACTATGCAACAAACTTGTATTCTGACCGTATTTTGTCTTATTTTTTAGGGTTTTATCGTACCCGTATCTTATANATCCAAGGAAATACCAATTTTCTATTTTGCTCTAAATTCTAGTTTCTACCCTCTTTCGTTCCATTTTGATTATGGTTAATGTCACTCGAAAGGTTTTAAAATTTTTACTTTCTTCTCTCAATGACAAAATGAANTTGTTCCAACCTGTAGAGCACTTTCTTTACCCTCGTTGCCATAATCCTTCATCACCGATCACTGATGAGGAACATCACTATTCAAGCCAAAATCATTCAAGTGGGAAAGTGTTCAGATTGGAGGAACAGAGTGAAAGAAAAAAAAAATCGAGATGAGAGTCTGAAATGGGAACACACACAAATAAAAAAAAGTTTTTATTTTGTCCCACCTTGTTATTTAGGGGGAGTTTCATCCTATATATAGCAACATCATCGATAATTTTATAAGCTACACTTTTATCANCAGACGCAGGTTCAAGCACAAGCTCAGCAACAGGTTCACCACCAGCTTCTGCTTCTACATCAACTTCGTCTCCTGGATCATCAAAATCTTCATCTTCTTCCCCAGAAACTGGTTCGAGCTCCAACTCGAAGGCAAGTACCAGCGGCAATGGTGGAGTGAAGTTGACTGGAAGGTTGTTACTGGTGATGAGTTTGGCTTCAACTGCATTGATGTTAATTTGATCTGTCAATCAATCTTCAATGGAGCTTTCGCACTGAGAGCTCTTTGTAGGGAACACTTAGGTAGTGATTAGTTTCGTTATTGCCTTGACTTTGTTCCCTCTTCGAATTTCATAAATAACAACAATAACGGTGATGACAGTTGAATTTAAGCTTTACCTTTTGCCAGATTGTCTTTCAATAAGGTTGCTCTCTTGTAACTAATACAGATATGATGATTCAAAGAAATTCATCTGATCTAATCTAAGTATAATAAACATAGATATGTGTGTATTTATCTTTATCATATGTATCCTATCCGGATTGAGCCTTATGTAATCAATCGCCTTCAATAATATATCGAGGCCGTCCATACAGCGTTTAGGTCTGTAGATATATGCAATATGCCGAAACACTGTCTTTATTATCTCCTATCTATCTCCTATTATGAATTTCTTCATGATATCAGCGAGTTGATCGCACTTCAATTTAATTTGCTTCCGCTGTTCCAATTTTAGGATTTACCAATCTGACCCATTCGTTCATTTTCATTGCTAATTCTTCTATCTTTGTTCCAACCTGTAGAGCACTTTCTTTACCCTCGTTGCCATAATCCTTCATCACCGATCACTGACGAGGAACATCACTATTCAAGCCAAAATCATTCAAGTGGGAAAGTGTTCAGATTGGAGGAACAGAGTGAATGAATAAAAAATCGAGATGAGAGTCTGAAATGGGAACACACACAAATAAAAATAAGTTTTTATTTTGTCCCACCTTGTTATTTAGGGGGAGTTTCATCCTATATATAGCAACATCATCGGTAATTTTATAAGCTACACTTTTATCGTCAACAAATAACTTTGGTCTCTACATTAGTCCGGGTAAGTCTTGCTCAAACCTGATAGAATTGCTTTCCACGGTATCAAAGAGTGGTGCACGCTACAATCCAAATAATCACACTCCATTTTCAGTTCAACTTGGACACTTTAACTCATCAATATACTAACTTAAGCGGGAGTATTAGGATATGATGATAGAATCTAAGAAATCTATTACTATTTATATATGATGATAGAATCCAAAAAAATTTATTACTATCTATAGAATAAGTGTAGATGATGATAATAATATCTTTATTATGTAATTTTCACCCTATAAATAAGGTTGAGTCTCATGCAATAAAGTATCTTCAATAATATCCATAGACGTAGGTATTTTGTGGAACCACGGAACTCTTTGTGTTTCGTTTTCCTTTACTTTTATTTATTTCCAATCTCTTTTAATCACAAACTTCTTCATGGTATNAGAGAGAGATTGATTATTGAGAATTCGAATTACATATGATTTACAACCTATAATCTTGTATTTCATTTAACAGCAATAAAACACAGACGTTGTACACACCTGTTACAGAACAATGAGTTGACTCAACGGTACAAACCGAATTTTGATGGCCAATTAGGGCCAGAATCAGTCAAATAGATGTTGTTCCAATACGAAGAGCTTTGTAATCGCAGCGACTGATCACGTTTGACTGTTTTTGTCTACCATTTTATTCATTTCCTTCACACTTGCTGACTAGAGTCCGCTGTGGATGATGAATTCACATTGCTATCACCAATTTCAAATTTGCAGAGAGGACATGATGCATTGATCTTCAGCCATTTATCTACACACTCGGTATGAAAAAAATGGGAGCAAGGAAGCTCCCTCAACTCATCATTATCTGCGTATCTTGCCAAGCAAATGCAACAAACCTGCACCAGCTTTAGAGCATTAGTTGTTGATCAAGACAAACCAATGCAAGTAGAAATTGATATAAATTTAAGAAAATACAAAAAGCTGTCCCAGCCCGCCTCACAGTAGATATTGGAAATTTAGAAACACCTTTAAAGTTCAGGGACACAAAACTCAGCCCCCCCCCCCCCCCAAAAAAAAAAAAAAAAAGTGTTTTCCAGTGCTACGATTTTTCATTCACAAAAAAAAAACCTAAATAGGGCCACAAACTCACCGCATCCTCCCCTGAAATGGCACGCTCTTTTTCTGTTCCTGCTGCTACAAACCCACCTTCACCAACTTCTGAATCACTGTCTCTACTGCTGCCACTTACATTCCTCTTCGACTTAAACTTGTGTGTTGGCAGAGCATTAATAGACTCATCACTGGCTCCTCTCATTCCAACCATATCGGGACGAATACCCAGGATTGAAATAATACACGGCAGGCAGCAGCATATCATCGCACATAAAATGAAAGGCATAGCATATCCAATACAACTAAAGGTCAGAAACACTATACATAACCTGCAAACCATCAGGGGAAATAATATTAGGTCTTCTAATTAGTGAGCACAAAGCAATGTATATGAAGGTCTTTAAGTGATACCTATACAAATTGGGAGCATCAGAAAGGGATGTATTCCCTCCAAAGATCCATACATTGCCAACAACAAACCAAACTGCAAAGAAGCACTCCAAGGCCACTTTGAAGTGGTTCACCAGCGCACTGAGCCTGCCAAGAAGAAATCATGTCACTGCATTGTAAACTACATCTTTAATGAATAAGGGATTGATAAAAAGTATGCAAAACAACAAGTATGATTATAATCAAACAATCTCTCTATGGAATAGACTAGGTCATGCATATCAGATGCATCCGTCTAGGGGTTAGGTCCATTCAACACACAGCACCCATTATAGTTTTTAAGAGTCCAAATTTCCCTTTTCTCCATAAATGGGATGAAGTTGAGCAANTGCATCCGTCTAGGGGTTAGGTCCATTCAACACACAGCACCCATTATAGTTTTTAAGTGTCCAAATTTCCCTTTTCTCCATAAATGGGATGAAGTTGAGCAAAATTCCATCACATAACCTCACGTGAATGTGAACCATTTGGTCACCTGAATTTATGTCTCCGTAACTTGCAAACAGACCCAATCTCTCGAAGGGCTTCCAATGAACTAGAAGTCTTGCTTCCTTTGAAAAACTGATACATGTCTGACTCATACCACCTCTAGTGCCCTATGATGTCATGTCCTAGACATGTACATCACATTTTTTTAACTCTCCGTTCTTTCCCAATTTACAAGATATATTCAGTAAATAAAGACAAATATGGTCTGGTTAGAAACATTCAGAAACCAAAATCACACTAGATCAGAAAATAAATGGATGTTTCTGTTTCTACATAAAGAACAATATTTTCAGATACACACTGATCTAGCATATCAAAGCCCTATAAGCTCTATTAGTAGTATAATTGTCAACCAAAAGGAGGCTTCCCCTGGTAAGTTTTTCCAGTTGCTAATACTCTAGGTTCAGTTAATGGTGATCATAAATGTCACATAAACATGCAAGTCAGCCTATTCTTGGAGACACACCTATAAGGTTTGACAATTCAAGACACTCAAAATCTCCTCAATCCAGAGCTCTCAGGGGCTATAAACTTTGCATCTTAATTTATTCCTGAAGACACACTTATGAACATTGACAGTTCAAGATACTCAAAAGCCCTAAAATCCAAATCTTTCTTGATCTCTTTTTTTTTCACCTGGAATTGAAATGAATGTAGAGATTGGATGTAATATACGTAGGGATGCAGTCAAGTCAGAAAAGGTCAACTGTGCGATTTCTACGTGGAGCACCTAATGTTACTCATCAGCACCTAGTTTCGTGGCTCTTCTATCCAACCGCAAATAGCTTGCTCACGAAACCAAAAAAAGATCAGGACAATACAATGGAGCTACAACTTCTGAGACACAAACCAAAAATGATTAATGATTTTGAACCTAATTGCAAAACATGTGCTGAAAGTAATCCTACAAAGTCCAAATGTCTTAACAAATAAAGCAAGCGCATTATACTGCTGAATCATGAGTGACAAATAAGCAACAAATTACCTAGCATTTGGAGATCCAATAGCCTGACCATTTGAAGTGTCTGTAACTGTATTACGATTATCTTCCTCATCTGAAGACCTAGTTAATGAGATAGTTATGTAAGAATTGGGATCTGATGTAGTGTTGCCTTGAGAAGAATTTTCGCGCAATTGAGTTGACCTTTGCTCAGTACCCTGATTGCGGTGAAGATAGCGCCAGTAAAGCAGCGGCAGGCTGGCAGCACACCCAGCTGCATAACCCACAACCCAAGCAAACAAAGGAGTCTGTGGATTCTCATGTCTTGATAGAGATAAAACAGTGATGGCTGCAATAATTTGTCCCAGAGCGAATGCTAGCTCAACAGATATCCACAATGTAGTATTAAACGGGCTCCACTGACGCCGTCCCAGCCCTTCGCCTCTCCTTGTGTGGGAGAAACTCCTAGAATTCAATCCATTAGATGAAGATGAGGGAGATTGAGTTATGGGCACCTCACCATTACTAGATGGTCTATCTTCACCATGAGTCAAACTCAATCCATGAGGAGAATGATTCTCGGATGGGCCTGATGAGGAAGCATCACCACTCCTTTCTATGTCAATAACGTGTTCCTGGTTTTCCGGGCCCTCCCTAAGCAAAGGGTAACTATCAGTTGGGTTCTCCGTACTTGATTCTTGAGAGGAAACGGCCATTCTAGCCTGCCAAAACTGAAGAGGAAATAATCCTATAAACTATAGTTATCAATATGGCTCTTCTATGTAGTTATTCACAACAATCTTTTCACAATAAAATCCAAATTCCTACAGACAATAGCTACTGTTGAATTCCCCAACAATGGGAGGCACAAAGTACCTCAACAACTCAAGTCCTCTAAGAGAAGGAAGTTCACCTGGCAACAGAGAAAGATACATTTTAGTTTCACCTTTAACAATATAACAGCAAAGAAAATATGAAAAAACATAAAAAAATCACTAGATAACCAAATAGTAAATTTCTAAGCCAACAAATGAATATCGAAATGAAAATGGGTAAAGTAATAAAGCATGTATTAACACAAAAAAAAGAGTTAAGTTTGTGAACAACAGATTAAACCATTCATATTTGAACACAAAAACTCAAATGCATACAACTGAACAAACAAGTAGATAAACTCAAAATTGGTATTTTTTTGTTCATGATATAAGAACAAGAATATATAAAATAATTAACACACAAGTTTGCACGGCCCTCTCGCTATAGGAAGAAGCAAAGAATATCTATTCAAAAAGGAGAATAACAAAGCTCAATGAAGCCATCCCTTAATTCCAGCTGAAACTTAAGTCTAGCACAAAACAACATTGATCGCTGAAGGGATTGAAAGACTTGTAAATAAAAAACATAAAAAATAAAGAATTACCTGAGCTGAAATACCAGCCCAAAAGATTCAAACTTTATTTTCCCTGTCTTTTCCTTTTTCACAACTTTTTCACCAACTAAATAGAGGGCAATAGAAACCCAAACTACCTCCAAATTAGAACTAAATCCAAACAAAAACCCTAATTTTGAAATTAAACTCACAGAGAACATCTTATTTGGGGTGGGGGGGGTGCACTGCGTACAATTCATACGATTTCAATCAAGCCAGCTAATAATACAACGATACACGAGAATTCAAAAACTAGAATCAAAAACTTCAATTAATCAGAAATTAACAGACTACGATTAGATAAACGATAAATAAAGAAATTAAAATTACCAATAATTTATGAGACGATGGACAATTTTCCGATAATGTTCAACGTTGTCTGATTGGTCTGGTTTTTGCTTTCCGATAAATATTCAACCATTGCTCTGCCGACTCCTCATCTCTCTGTATAATAATAATATATAGATATGAGAGAGAGGAGAGAGAGAGAGGGAGGGATTCTTACAAGGATCGATGTGGTAATGGAAGGGACTGTTTGGTTGCCTCGTAGATCACAAAAATTTTAGCTCTTTACATATTAGAAGACAATAATAATATGTGCACCACCGTGTCTACGCATCTTATTTTTTAAATATTTAATTAATTTAATAAAATTATTAATCTAATAATTCATATTGTGGTGGTGTTTAAATGTGATATCTAAAAGTGGTGTGTGTAATATTCTTGATTAAAAAAAGTACAAATAAAATTGGGATAAATTTTAGGGGTGGTAATTTTGAATTCAACACGGGGACATGACTCATTCTTGACATAAATTTAAAGGTACAAATTTGATTATAATTCGATATAAACTCGAAAATAACTCGGCACGGGAACGCGAAATACAAATAGGTCTTATTCAGGTTAAATCCGTTAAATTTGAAATTGATACGATCAATCCGTTTATTTAATTAAATCGACGCTAACCCGCCAATGACTCGATAATGATACGAACACAACCTAATAATTTTTTATCTAAAAATGAAATTCCCAACCTGTTTAGACATATTATAAAAAATATATAGTCTCAATTCAAGAATATAGTGATTATTTTTGCCTTGTGGGGTAGAAAAAATTTATTTGAAGTATAATATCTTCAAAATAATAATAACTTTGACGGATTTAGTTAATAATTGACACTTTCTCAATATTTTTGTTTGTATGGTAACACGAACAACGCGAAATTAACATATTTAATTAGTATTATAGAAATAAAATGATAATTATTTGTAACTGTTTATTAACTACTGACATAATTATTGTATAAAAAAATANAATTATTTGTAACTGTTTATTAATTACTGACATAATTATTGTATAAAAAATTTTTTTTACTCATTGTTATTATTATGTTTATTAAGTTAATTTTTAATTTATAAAAAAAGTATGAGCATGGATTCAATTAAGTGAAAATAGAATTTTAAGAGTTAAATTTTTTATTCAAAGTTTATATGGGTTAATACGAATATGAACACAACACGAAAATAAATAGGTCAACTCTGCACAAAAAAATTAGTTAAATGAGTTGGGTTAGAATTAACTAATTTTCGACACGAACTCGCAATGACTAAACATAACTCGAATCGATTGCCACCTCTAATAAATTTCATCTCTGCCCTCTGTAAATAGGTCTTACTTTAACGGCACCCCTTTTCGATTTTAAAATTTCATTAACACCTCTTGTCAGTGTTTACCAAAAAACGAGCGTCATGAAATTACTCATTTTACCACTTTACCCTAAGTTCTATATTGTTTGATATATTAAGCATCTTAATATATATATAGACAAAGAACCCTCCCCTCGCGTCGTTCACCAATCTTCCCCACCCATATTTAACTCTTTTGTTATTCTGTGTCCTCCACAAATGTCATCAAATCATTCTTCACCCATTAAATTTAAATATTATTTGAAAAAGTTTAATATTAATTGAATAAATTTGGATATTAATTTGTTGTTAAATTAAGGAAATGACATTAATTTAATAAAATTAAATGTTAAATTAATGAAATTTAATATAAATAAATTTTAATTTGATAAAATTGTATGTCAATTTGGTATTGATTTAAGGAAATTAAATAATAATTTAGTATTAAGTTAAAGAAATAATATTAATTTGATGAAATGAAATATTAAATTAATGTAATTAAATGTTAATTTTATCAAATTAAATATCAATATTATATTGNACAACCTAATAATTTTTTATCTAAAAATGAAATTCCCAACCTGTTTAGACATATTATAAAAAAAATATAGTCTCAATTCAAGAATATAGCGATTATTTTTGCCTTGTGGGGTAGAAAAAATTTATTTGAAGTCTAATATCTTCAAAATAATAATAACTTTGACGGATTTAGTTAATAATTGACACTTTCTCAATCTTTTTGTTTGTATGGTAACACAAACAACGCGAAATTAACACAATTAACATATTTAATTAGTATTATAGAAATAAAATGATAATTATTTGTAACTGTTTATTAATTACTGACATAATTATTGTATAAAAAATTTTTTTTACTCATTGTTATTATTATGTTTATTAAGTTAATTTTTAATTTATAAAAAAAGTATGAGCATGGATTCAATTAAGTGAAAATAGAATTTTAAGAGTTAAATTTTTTATTCAAAGTTTATATGGGTTAATACGAATATGAACACAACACGAAAATAAATAGGTCAACTCTGCACAAAAAAATTAGTTAAATGAGTTGGGTTAGAATTAACTAATTTTCGACACGAACTCGCAATGACTAAACATAACTCGAATCGATTGCCACCTCTAATAAATTTCATCTCTGCCCTCTGTAAATAGGTCTTACTTTAACGGCACCCCTTTTCGATTTTAAAATTTCATTAACACCTCTTGTCAGTGTTTACCAAAAAACGAGCGTCATGAAATTACTCATTTTACCACTTTACCCTAAGTTCTATATTGTTTGATATATTAAGCATCTTAATATATATATAGACAAAGAACCCTCCCCTCGCGTCGTTCACCAATCTTCCCCACCCATATTTAACTCTTTTGTTATTCTGTGTCCTCCACAAATGTCATCAAATCATTCTTCACCCATTAAATTTAAATATTATTTGAAAAAGTTTAATATTAATTGAATAAATTTGGATATTAATTTGTTGTTAAATTAAGGAAATGACATTAATTTAATAAAATTAAATGTTAAATTAATGAAATTTAATATAAATAAATTTTAATTTGATAAAATTGTATGTCAATTTGGTATTGATTTAAGGAAATTAAATAATAATTTAGTATTAAGTTAAAGAAATAATATTAATTTGATGAAATGAAATATTAAATTAATGTAATTAAATGTTAATTTTATCAAATTAAATATCAATATTATATTGATTTGATGAGATTGAATGTTAATTTAGTTTAAAGAAATAACATTAATTTAATAAAATTAAATATCAAATTAATGAACTTGAAGGTTAATACAATAGAATTAAAAGTTAATTTGGTTTTAATTTCAACAAATTAAATTTTAAATTCATAAAATTTAATATCTCTTGTTTTAAATCAACAAAATTTTAGATAAAAATTCATTGATGTTTATGTTGATTTGATGAGATGTTGGGTTTTTTAGGGATGTATGTTGCTAATTTAATAGGGAGGGCCGTTGTGTGTACAATGGTGTGGTGGTGCAAATGAAGGTAGACATAGAGCGAATAGTAGGAAATAAAAAAAAGGATAAAATTGTCATTTTTGAAAAAAATTAAGATGACATTAGCTCTTTTTCAGTTGTCACGACAATGGGTGTAGTTAAAGTGTATATATATAGGAGTGGTTTTTTTTTGAGAATCAACAGTAAAATTTTATTATTGATGAATATCAGAAAAAAAGAGAAGCATAACAAAGTTTGGTGCCTGCTCCAACCATGCAACACTATTATCTAATGGTAAAACAAAACGAGTTAATTCACGAGCTACTATATTTCCATTTTGACGAATCTCGGACACTTTAAAGTACTGAAAGCTCCTCCCAATGTTAATAATGTCCTGCAAAATAGTGCCTAGAGGATCAAGATCCAGCTCACAGCACCTAATAGATCGCATCACTTTTGAATAATCCCTTTCCAATATAACTTCTGGCAATTCTAACTGCTTTGCAAATTGGAGTACTATCCTCGCTGCACTCATTTCTGCTTGACGAATCTCACAACTCATTACCATCCTCTTAGACAAAGCCCCTACAAAATAACCCCGATCATCTCTTATAACCACCCCCACGTCCAAGACATTTAGATCTTTGAACACGGTGGCATCGAAATTCACCTTAAAGGTCCCAGCCCTCGGAGGACACCAACCATTATTCAGATTTGACTGTGGAGCCAGACTGGGTTGATTTACTACCTCAATGTACTGCCTGGGTATTCCACTGCCTTTATCTGCACTTCAACAGGATCTTGGACTATGTTTTCAAAAATACAAATATTTCTATATCTCCACACAAACCAACACTGAATAAGGAACATTGAGAAATCATCGGGGAGAAGGGTCTGATGGACATCACACAACCACTGTCCAGGCTCAATAGCTGAAATCTCAACCACTGTCTTAAGCGAACTGAGGTGCCACACTACTTTGGCCCAAGGGCAGTCTCTTAGGCAATGGATCAATGATTCGTCACCTTCCTTGCACACCCCACAGTTCTCATTCACTGAGACTTTCCTTCGCCTTAGATTATCCGTTGTTGGCAGCGCATTGGAGCACACCTGCCAAGCAAAGATCTTAACTTTATTTGGTATTTTGTGATTCCAAATAAACTTCCAATCAAGATGTCCTACACTGGAAGAAGGAGATGAATTACTTGGGGCCGCTTGCACTAAATTTTGGTCCATGATAATATGATAAGCACTACGTACCGAGAATCTCCCGTTTGAGTTATAATGCCAAAACAAACGATCCACCATGGAATTTCTACTGAGTGGGATACTTTTAATTACCAGCGCCTCGNTTGCACTAAATTTTGGTCCATGATAATATGATAAGCACTACGTACCGAGAATCTCCCTTTTGAGTTATAATGCCAAAACAAACGATCCACCATGGAATTTCTACTGAGTGGGATACTTTTAATTACCAGCACCTCGAGAGGCAAAAATATTTCATCCACCAACTGCCCATTCCAACTCCGTGTTTGCTCATTGATAAGATCTCCTACCTTCGTCAAAGAGTGAAGAACCCTTCTAGGGGAAACTGGCTTGAAACTTATAGGGGTGGGTAACCACCTATCTGACCAGATATTGATTCTGGATCCGTCACCTATTCGCTATCTCGAACCTGCTATCACCACTTTTTGTGCTCCTAAAATACTTCTCCAGGTATATGAGGGTCTATAGCCAAGATCTGCCTCCATAAATGACGTCAACGGGAAATACCTTGCCTTAAACANCTATTCGCTATCTCGAACCTGCTATCACCACTTTTTGTGCTCCTAAAATACTTCTCCGGGTATATGAGGGTCTATAGCCAAGATCTGCCTCCATAAATGACGTCAACGGGAAATACCTTGCCTTAAACACTTGGTGAATATGTGAATTAACCTCAGTATTCAATCTCCAAGCCTGTTTTGTTAGCAGCGCCAAGTTGAAAGCCTTGAGATCTTTGAAACCCATGCCACTCCTTTCCTTCCTTGAACTCATCCTACTCCAGTTGACCCAATGAATTTTCTTTTCCCCCTGTTTTTGTCCCCACCAAAACTTGGCTGTTAGAGCTTCTAAATCCTCACAAAAATTATCCAGAAGTTTGAAACACCCCATAGCATAAATGGGAATAGATTGCACCACCGCTGTAATTAATACTTCATTCCATGCTCTAGATAAGAGTTGTACACTTCACCCTTACATTTTATTCCACACCCTCTCCTTTAAATTGCTAAATACTTCTTTTTTAGATCTACCCACCACAGTAGGAATCCCCAGATATTTATCATGTTGGAGAACACGAACTATCCCCTATGTTTGCTGGACTAGATTTGTCTGCACCTCCGAAGTGTTATTGCTAAAAATCACTGCAGACTTTTCCAAGTTGATTTTTTGACCTGAAGCAGCTTCATAGGTTCCAAGAATTGACTTAATAGCTCCAGCCTCCTCATTTGATGCATTAAAGAATAATAGGCTGTCATCGGCAAACAAAAGGTGGGATATACGTGGACCGGCCCTCCCTATCGATACCCCCGTAATGTGGCCATTCATCTCTGCATTACGTAGAAGTGTTGTTAAACCTTCTGCACAAATAAGAAACAAATAAGGTGACAAGGGATCTCCTTGACGAAGACTCTTCTCAGGATGAAAAAAACTCATTTGCTCATTATTCAACATGATGGAATACGAGATGGTTGTAACGCATTGCATTACCAAAGTAACGCATCTAGGATCAAAACCTAAAGTGAGCATCATTTCTTCCAAGAGCACCCATTCCACCTTATCATAAGCTTTACTCATATCCAGTTTTTGAGACACATGTCCCATTTTACCCTAGTTTTTGCACTTTAGAAAGTGATTAATTTCAAAGGCAACCAAAACATTGTCGATGATTAACTGCCCCAGAAGAAAAACACTTTGAAAATCAGAAATGACAGAAGGAAAAATATACTTTAAACGATTTGCTAAAATTTTTGAAATAATTTTATAAATAACATTACACAAACTAATTGGAAGAAACTCATGCAAAGACTCCGCATTTTCGCATTTAGGAATAAGGATAATATTGGTACAATTGAACCTTACTGGGAACTGACCACCATTGAGAAAACTCAAAACACAATTAGCAACATCCACCTCGACAATATGCCAATACTTTTGGGAAAAAAGCGGGGGCATGCCATCAGGTCCGGGGGGATTTAGTAGGAAACATCTGAGATAAAGCAGTAGTTACCTCATCAAGTCGGAAAGTCTGCAAGAGCCTTGATTCATTCCTTCCAACACCTTGCGGTCCACCTTGCTTAGAACGACCTCTATCGCATGGGTTCGTGGTCCACTGGAAGTAAACAGATTCCTAAAATACCCTACCGCAACTTGTTCCATTTCATCCGAAGTCTCACACCTACCCCCTTCACCATCTCTAAGCTTGAAAATTGTGTTTCGTCTTTGCTGTTGGGATGCCCTGGCATGGAAAAAAGCTGTATTTTTATCCCCTTCCTTCATCCATTGAATTTTTGATCGTTGACGCCAATATGTCTCCTCCATATCCAACAAAGAATTCAACTCTATAACCACTTCTTGAGCATGTTGCCTTGAAATCTCTGTTATGCCCATTTCCTTTATACTTGCCAATTTACTTTTCAAATCTTCTATCTTAAGTGGGATGTGCCCAATATGCACCTGTTTCCACTTAAGTAGCTCCACTCTACAATTTTGTATTTTCCTTGTGAACCCCTGAAAGATGTTCACTACAATTCCAAGCCTCCTCGATAGTCTTCACACATCCCTCTCTCTTCACCCAAGCTGCTTCAAAATGAAACAATTTTTTTCTAGGACACCTCCCTTGAGATGGCAGCCTCGTGTTACTATCTAGTAATACTTTATAATGATCTGGTTCCTTCAAAAATTTGTGAGAAACTCTTGAGTTAGGAAATCTCGTCATCCATGTCAGGTTCGCACACACTCGGTCAAGTATTTCCCATACAGTAAATGGCTCCTTCTGATTGTTACACCAAGTATAAGGGAAACCCGTATATCCCAAATCCACCATTGCACAACTATCCAATGCTTGATGGAAATCTCGCATTTTCCATTCCGCCCTTTTTCCTCTCCCTTTCATCTCATCTTGTGAAACTATTTCATTGAAATCCCCAGCACACACCCACGACAAATCCATTCGATTTCCTAGATTAGCCAACAATGCCCACGTGTCACTACACTTCGATGTCTTTGGTGCCCTATAAATTCCCAAAAACCTCCACGACCTCTATTCACCCCTCTTATTAATCACGACATCGATGTGTCCACAAGAATAACTATGCAACACCACATCAATATCCTTCTGCCAAAACAACGTTAGACCACTTGCATTTCCTTGCGGCTCTATAGCCAGTCCACACAAACCAAACATCATTTTCAAAAAATAAATTCTTCTAGCATTACATTTCATCTTCGAAAGGAAGACAAAATCAGGTCGCTCTTTCTTTATGAAATTGCGTAAATCTTGAACTGTCCGAGGATGCCCAAGTCCCCGGCAGTTCCAACTAAGGATTTTCATAACGATCGGTGGGACTGGAGACCAGTTCCCACCGTTAAATTTTCCATATCTATCGAATCTGTATGCCTTAGACCACCATTTACCTTAGCTTCTTTCATTACACTCGCATCTATTCGTGAACCCAAATCTTCAATTCCTTCTCCATACTTCTGTTTGCCATTGGGATCCATCAGATTTTTTGTTTGGCCAGACGATACTGAGCCTTTTTCCTTTCTTCTCCATTTCTTCGTAGCTATCGGGTTTTGACTGGGTGAACTTCCTTCGTCAACGCCTAACTCCCCCAACTTAAGAAGACCTCTGGTTTGGGCTAATGAAGAAATGGGGATATCCATATAGTCTTCGTCAGTCCACTGGGCCTCCCTATTTTTATTTGAGATAGGCTGACTCCTATCTTTTCCTACGGCCCCACCCACATCTTCCACCAACTTAGGGCCCACATTAACAACTTGTGTCCCTATAAAATTCCCTTCAATTTCCTTTGGATAATTATCCATNAACGCCTAACTCCCCCAACTTAAGAAGACCTCTGGTTTGGGCTAATGAAGAAATGGGAATATCCATATAGTCTTTGTCAGCCCACTGGGCCTCCCTATTTTTATTTGAGATAGGCTGACTCCTACCTTTTCCTACGGCCCCACCCACAACTTCCACCAACTTAGGGCCCACATTAACAACTTGTGTCCCTATAAAATTCCCTTCAATTTCCTTTGGATAATTATCCACAATTATTGCTGCTGAGATGCCTTTATCCACCGAATTTGTAACTTCAACTTTCTTGAATATTTCGTCCTCAATAATCACGCTTTCTATATCTACCTCACGCTTTGCCTATTAATTGAAGGCTCAATAAAATCCCCCGTCTTTCCTCCTTCCTTATTCCGCCCCCTAAATTTACTCTATGTATTGGGTATTCGTCCATCACCAGATATTAAACCAGACACACCCATAACTCTCGGCTCTATCACCGCTGCCCCATTTTGGGAATTCTTCTCCAGCGAGACTTGTACGCTAGCCGAAAAAATTCCATTTTTCTCCACCGTCGGCGATTTGTCCTCACTGGCATCTAAGCCTGCTATATTCTTCAACCCTCTTCCCACTGGAGCCCTCAGCCATACCTCATATTGCATCGACCCTTTCTTAACTGAGTCTGTTGAATCCGATCTTAGCAAACATTCTCTTTCACCGTGGCCAAACTGTCCACAATAGTAACAAATATAAGACAACCTTTCATACTTGAAAAACACCGTTAGATTTGAGTCTCTTATCCTTTTAAGATTCATTCCTCTAAATAGAGGTTTCTCAATATTAATGTTCATTCGAACTCTCAAACATCTCCCCCATCCTACTCCATTTCTCAAATCTGTTTCCAAATAGCATCCAATCTTATTGCCTATAATTTTCGCAATTTTTTTGATTAATTCTATTTAAAGGCAAATTATATATTTGGACCCAGAAAGGACACCCACTAAATGAAACATNAGTCTTTGTTGGGCAACGGATTTTGGAATCACAACCGCCGGTTCCGTACACCATCACACTTTTTCGAAATTTCACCTCAGTGGAGTGTGTGAACCAAGTAGCTAGATTTTGCACCTGAGGGAGAATCTAACTCTACTTGCTATACTCGACACAAGTTTTTCATGCATGTAACCGTGCGACTCAATCGGATCTTCAATCCAACTTTCCCGAGCCCACCCATCAAGCACCAAGTATGGTGTTGATTAAACCATGCACCTACACCCACACTCATGCCTCATGCTCATAAATGTGATGCCCCTGTGCAAATGCAATGTAATGTACCATTGCAATATCAATGTCATGCTCATATGTAATGAATGTCAAATGAGCAATTTCCACCATTCTATTGCCAATTATATCAAAAACATATAATTTTCACAATTCATCATATGCTAATACATCATAAAACATATATTAACATTATACCCAACAACAAATCCCAAGCATGTCTAGGCCAATAACACACTTAATTCACAAGGCACAATATAAACACATAGCATGCCCACATAATGCCAATATCCAAGAAATTACATATGTAACTTCCACATATCAATTTCAAGCTAGAACTTGAATTAAACTATTTCTACACCCATTTCTTCATGTCCATAACAATAGACAAATTTTCATCCAACACAATATCCAAGCATGCTATACATAGTCCATGCAAAACATACTTAATTTTCAGCTAGGCATTTAATCAAACACCTTCAAGACATCACTCATGTAAACACATAATACACTAAAATTCATCATATAACTCAAAAAAAAAATCAGAATAAATAATTTTCACATGCCCAATTATCAAAACTTCCAAGAAATCACAAACTAGTAATTTCTAATTATTAATTCACACTAGAATTGAGCCTACCCATTTTCATTAAACCAACTATAATAGACAATTGTTAAAAATACTCAAAACAGCCCACATAAACCCTATGGACACCTTAGGTTTGAAATAAACCAAAGTAAGAACAATCCTACCTCTTGAAGCGTAAAATCAATGTAGAAAACCTCCAAAAACTTAATCCCAAGCTCAATCTCAAGCTCAAACCCAAGCTACTCCCAAAATCTCGTTTTTGAATATTCGGTGAAATTTTTCATTTTTGCTATGGTTGTGTAGCCCTCGCTGAGGAGATTGACTTTAATTCTTGGCCTGAAGAATTCCGACCAGCGAAACTCCTTGAATCGTAGAGACAAAGTTGAATTTTTCTCTTTTTTTCTCTCTTTCTCTCCAAGGTCTGAAATCAGTAGAGAACCCACCTGAATAAGTGGAAAAAATCAGATATTTATTCCTATTTATAGTCCCAAAACCCTTGGCTCATAATTCGCCACACGACTCCTATTTTCGGGTCCGTTTTCACCCCGAAATGATTAAATTTCGTACCGGTTTAAGCTCAAAATATTTTATACAAACTTTATTTAAAATATTTTTTAAATTTTAAAATTTTTATAAAAATTTCGTTTTTGGGGGTAACCGGACACCCGTCACCTCGAAAAACGTAAAAAATCCGACTATTTCAGAATTCGACAAAATTTGTTTGGATAACTAGATTTCGCGAGACGAATCCAACAGCGAGGTCCGTTTCATCATCCAAGGTCTAGAAAAATACAAGTTTTCAACCTGCACAATAATGACAAATTACCATTTTGCCCTTTTTTTTTTTTATAAAAAGTTCAAATTTTTCAAGATTTTATAGTTCAAACTCAACTCGTTTAAAATACGAGTTGAGCTTGAGCTGAATCCTATTTGACCTGAGCTCGAGTAACTCGTCTCAATTAACACCTCTATATATATGAACTACAAAGGGGGTGCAATGAAATTTTAAAATTGAAAAAAAGTGTGGTTGAAGTTAAGCTTATATACTGGAGTGTAAATGAAATTTATCCNTTATAAGACTGACGAATTTATCACATGTACCACTACTCAATCCAATAATAGAAAATAATTATAAATTCAACCACCATATTTCCAATCCACCCTATTCCCTGTGTAATAAATACCTCAAGTAAAAAAAAAATACTAACATAATATAATTAAATTCATAATTTTAAACAATAAATAAAATCAACCAAATTTTGCTAATTTATAAAACTCACGAATTTATCACCACTATTACTATTCAACCCAAAATGACACAATATAATTATAAATTTAATTATTAAATGTACAAGCCTCCACATATAAATATACACTAAAACACATTCTCACACATTTTTTTTTAGCTACCAACAAACCTTTCTAACCAACAACTGTTTTTATTATAAATATAATAATTCAATTTTTTAAGATAAAATAATAATAAATTAATATCTAATTAAAAAATAGGTTAAAAAATACAGACACCCTTGACATTTTATAAATAAAACGGAGATCCCTTGAGGTTTGAAATTTATTGCACAGAGACTCCTTGTTTCCTTTCCGTTAATGTTGCGAACAAAAATGATGATTTCATCCCAAAATTTTTTATTATTTTTACAATTGCCTTTCTCCAACTTTAGTATTCAAAAAACATTAAAAATTTAATAAAACAAAATAAGATTTGATTTAGTACCCAAAAAATTGATAAAATTTAGTACCCCAAAAAATTGATTAACTGAATTTTAATTTTAAATTGATAACAATAAAAACTAATTTGATATTTATTCGACAAAGTTGAATATAAATTAAACAAAATTAAATGTCAATTTTTGATAAAATTATATATTAATTTACAATCTAAGGTTCATTTCGTGTTGAATATTATTTGATATTGATTAAATCAACATGAAATTGGCCTTAAATTATAAATTTTTTTGTTATATATAAACTTAAAAATTTATATTTTAACTCATAAAATTTAAATACATATTTTTTTATTGCATAACATCTTCCCTCTGACTATATCATTTGATAAATTTTCTTTTGGTCAAGATTCAACAACACATACTTAAACTAATTATTCACATCCCCCACTTTTTTTTTTTTAAGNCCCTCTGACTATATCATTTGATAAATTTTCTTTTGGTCAAGATTCAACAACACATACTTAAACTAATTATTCACACACCCCACTTTTTTTTTTTTAAGAGAACCGCTCACCTCCACTTGATAAACGCAAAAATATCTGATTCACATGAAAATACGTGAAAGTAAATTAAAAAATTGACAAAAAATTTGATAATTAGAAAAAATTTAAAAAACTTAGTACCAAAAAAATTGATAATATTGTCAAAAATATAATCTAAGGTCAATTTCGTGTTTATTTAATCAATAATAAATAATGGTAGTAAAAAAAATTATCAATAATAATAATTATCTGCGCCTGACGGTACGGAGTAATAAAAAAAAATTATAATTAATTAAAAGGCATACCAAATAAAAGAGAGATCACTGAGGAAATTGAGAAATATACATTTCTTTATACCAAATCAATATAATTGATGTAACACATAGAACCACCTGTTCAACAACACAACTAACACAAATATTTAATTTAAAATATATTTGATACAGAGAGAGAGTTATATACTAATATATGTATGAGAGTTGGGTATATGAGATAGAGAGAGAAAGAGAGTGATATTAGAGATAGAAGTCTTAGAGTTTTAAAATGAATAAAAGTCTAGTTAGAATCGTCGGATCAATAGTCTTCAATTAATCTGAACCGCGAAAAGGTCAAGATAAAGAAATCTACCTACTTTATTATATAGATCAGTAATTGTCCATGCCTAAAAACATTGCGTTTCTCGTAAAAAATGAACAAAAAATTCTTCAAAGCAACACCACATATATAAATAAATTAGGAAAAAAAAAATATTGACAGAACCAAATCAAATCACCATTACCATAATCCAATTTAATTACATAACATAATTATAAACTCAATCCACCCAGTAATAAATATCTCAAACAAAAAACTGCCATTGGTGATTTCCTAAATTTTTGATTTAATAATATCGTTTTAAATGATATGAAATAATTGCGTATTTATTACACGGGAAATCAATAAATCATATCACTTCACACATTGGTTTTTCCTTTCCTTTGCTTGAACAACTTGCCTTTTCTTTTCCTTTACTGCTACTATTTGCTGGTGCCTTCGATTTTTTGTTCTCCTTTAAGAATATAATATAGACAAACACATAATAAATTGAGTAACATCAAATCAAAAAATGTGACATGACACCACCTCAATTATTTGATTAAGATCACACTCATCACGAATCACAACGCCTACATTATTTTGTCGGAACAAATTGACCAAGAAATATGTAGACATTTTAAATTGAATTGATCGATAAGAAGTAACCGGTAATAAGATGCATGATAAGAAGATTAACTTATGGTGTACTCTAGATCTAAATCAGTTTGTAATAAGGAGGAGGAAAAATTATATAGTAAGTATGACAAGGTTTTTACTGAAATATTATACTAAAGATTTTGATAAATTATATATAATAAATAACTTACATGTCCAAAAATAGTGACATTGTCCATTTGAATATTGGTTTTGGTGATGAAGTGATAATTTGTACGCGGTTATTGGTGTCAAATGTTAAACATGCAAACCTTAAAAAAAATACCGAACTTAGTGAAATTGAGTGTTTTATGTGTGCTTAATAGAAATTTTCAAATTTATGCAAAGTTGAATCGCAAATTAAGAAATGTAATAAAACCAACATAAATCAAGATATAAACAATAAAGTTATAACATATAACATTTAACAGCAATCAGCTCATGTCAAAACATCCACAACTAAACCAATACCAACATTAAACATT